GGAAAGTAATATAAAATAGATTTAAAAATTATTTGTAACTAGTTAGTGCACTAAAACAAATAATTACTTTCTAAATCTTGGTCTTGAGATTTATGAACCAGTATAAAATTAATTGATATAGATACGGCTATAATTACAGATTACAAATCTCAAAAATTTACTAGTCCCTGACTCTTTCTTATAACCAAATGTGATGCATTACAATCTTTGTTTTTAGCCAACAACTAGAAATTTTAAAAATTATCCTTGCTTAAGTTTTTCAGTGGTTTGTAATCCAAGTAAGAAAAAAATAATTGTTATGACTAACACAAATTCCTCCTGTTGCAATTTAAACTTTTAGTTTCTTGCTTGTTATTGAGACAGAGACAATCATCATCCTCTTGTAAGTTTCCATTAGATGCTTAGAGAAAATAAAACTATTACCTAAGCCTTTTGTTTGTTTTATCCTTATGGACCTGTTCATATTTTAACAGCAATCCTCTGGACACTCTCTCACTCACTTTTTGATTTCAAACTTCCTGACTGCATACTGATTCAGGAATAAAGTCAGATTTTCTTTTTAAAAGATTTGTGAGTGTTTTGTTTTGTTTCTTTTCTGTGTGTGTATTTGTTTTGTTGTTTGTTTCTTTGTTTTGAGGTTTTACTAGCTGAAGGCATCTCATCTCACTGGAATCAGTTTATTAGTAAACATATTTTAGTTGTGTCTTCCCCTTTGTTCTCACCCATATTAACCCTTATACCCTCTCCCCTTACAGCAAATTAAGAAGAAGACATTTAGAGAAATACCTTTTCTTTATTTAAGCAAAGAAAAGGAAACAAATTACAGATAGATAATGTCATTTCCTAAAGGCAGTTCTGGTCCAATCAAGACTTTTAGCTGCCAGGTAACATTTAAGGCTCTCTATATCTTGTTTTCAATATTTAAAAACAAGGTATATCTGATCAGGATCCAGCCCATGGAACATAAACTGATACTGAAATTCAATCTACAGTAGACCTCGGTGTCTTAAATCTCTGTACTATTTTTAAATTTGCCTACATTACTTAATTTTTCTCAGAGAAAAAAAAAATTCTATGATTTGGTTTTGCACTAAAATTAAAAAATATACAATTTATTCATAATATTCAATTTATAGAGCAAGAATACAAAAACACAGACTATGCCTTTCATTTATATGATACCAGTTGAATTTTTCAAGCTGACAAGGGAAATTAACATTTTTACCTGCTATGTAAAATGGAAGTGATAAAGTCAAAAAGATAGCTCCCATCACTAAATAATTTTGTTTAAATTATAAATTGTCATTAGTCTTTCAACAAATTGGGAAAAACAATATGGAATCCATATTAAGCCCTATCTTTTGTTTTGGTAACATCTATAATCTTTCAAGTATTTCTTGTTTTTCTTACACCCTAGTTCTTTTCTCATTTGGCAGAGGACAAGTGTTATAGAACAAGGCACCTTTATTCTGTCACTATAGAGAATGTGTTAGTACGAGGATGACTGCAGTGTACTATAATTCTTCTCCCCAGTGAGTAAAACAAATAATGTATATAAATATCTGTGAACTGCAAAGTTTATTTAGTCAACAAATATTTGTTAAGTGTCTGTTATCTACCAAGTCATATGTATTGCTATAAGTACAATCTACAAGAAACACTGAGGTTAGGAATATGACTATTGGGTGAGATATTTTGGCGTGAGAGAATATTGTAATATCTTTAAAATGTATTACAATTGTTAATTCTTAATTATGCAAAATCTATGTAAAACACACATCTGTATAGTTTGTAACTAAAAGAAGTTTTTTCTTATTATATCGCAACTAAGTATCACAGAATTTTAGGCTAAAAGAGGCATAGATACTACAAGCTCTTATGACCTAACACAATAAAACGCCGTATAGAAAAGGTAAACACTACACAACCAATTATGAAAATAATTGGAGCACAATCTCAGATCTTTTGCTCCTCAACCCAACTCTCTTTCAAAACTAAGAAACACAATGCTTTCTTGTAAGCTATTTTATGATACTACATATTATTTCCTGATAACAATGTAAATTATTTACAGAGACTTTCTTTTACATAACTCTCAAAAGTGCAAAATGATTTTATCACCATTACCTTGGTGACAACAAACATCAAAATTTGGGCTAAAATGAAACTTTGAGTAGAGTTCAATGAATATATTACACATTTTTAAGACATATTATCTTTACTAATTTCAATAAGTTCAAATTTTACACAAACCTGAAGTGTAAGTATACTCTTCTGATATTAATGTAGAAGTTTTCAATATGATTTACAAGGTAAAGAATACATGAGATGTCCTTTTCATCACTCATTTATTTCCCAGCTATGTTGAAAAAAGGTTTAGGTATTATTCTATTTTATAAGCTAAGAGTCAATTAGTCATATTTCCTATTTAGTACAAAAAGAAGAGCACTGACCTTACCTCTGCCATGTTCACATTGTATGGTCCAGTTGAGAATCCTGCCTGAGAGTTGACTGTGTAAACATAGATCAGCAGAGAAGAGTCACCACTCTCCATCATATGAGAAGGCATGGGTCTGATGGCTACATCCCATTTTTCCCTATTTGGGAACAGTCCTCTGTGCTGAGTGGTCTTCCTGCCACTTGGGTCAATAAAGTATTTCCAACCAAGGAAATCACCGAGACTCTTCAATAACCATAAAGTAAGTTTCATCTGCTATCAAAATTAAACCATATGTATTTGTTATTTAAAATTAATTTCTACTGGAATTATAAAAAATATTGTTGATGGCACTATGTATCCAGCAATCTTTACCTTTTAAGGCCACCTAAGCAAGCAAAAATATCTAAGAATTAGATTCTTCATGTAATGAAAAATTAAGTTCCCAATTTCACAAAATTAATTTGTCTCAATACTGAAAATTCTAGATTTGGATGTAAAAATCTGAGATTATTAAGATTATTATATACAAGAAAAGAGCTAATACTAATATTTTGGGACACTTAGGTAAAGCAAAATGTGACTAAAATTTACGTTAATAAAAGTTAAATTCAAAATGGAATCAGAAGAGCTTGAAACATAATGGCATAATTTAATGAATTACAAAAACCAAAATGTATCTATTTTCTCAGATACCATTACAGTAATAAAAATGAAATATTACTCCATTGGCAATCACATCTTGATTACTATGTAATGCTAGAAGTTTGATTTGCTCAATTAATCTCATTGTACTTTATGACATAAGTTTCTAAGTACTGTCAAGAGATTTAAAATAATTTTTATAAAATATTCACCAAGATGTACAGAATGTTATCATGTGAAATGTATTGGCTTAAAAATATACAAGCTGTTAAAAGGAAAATAGCCTGCACATGGTGGCTTATGCCTGTAATGCCAGCACTTTGGGAGGCCAAGGAAGGTGGATCGTGAGGTCAGGAGTTCAAGACCAGCCTGGCCAATATGGTGAAACCTCGTCTCTACTAAAAAAATACAAAAATTAGCCCAGCATGGTGGTGCGCACCTGTAATCCCAGCTACTCAGGAGGCTGAGGCAAGAGAATCGCTCGAACCCGGGAAGCAGAGGTTGCAGTGAGCCGAGATCGCACCACTGCACTCCAGTCTGGATGACAGAGTGAGACTGTTTCAAAGAAAAAATGAAAGGAAAATGAATATTTTCATTGATGTTATATAATATTCATAAGAAAATAAGTTAATTATGATAAAGGGAAAATATTAGCTATTAAGATATACTTGTTAATAAATATAAACTAGTAAATTAAGAGAAAAATGTATAAGTCAGCAGAACTTTTTAGATATATGAAAATAAGGAGCACAGCTCCACTATAAACATGAACAATCAAGGACCCATCTTGGACCTTGGCTTTAGAGTATCCAGATCTTACCTTGTCTGACCCTGCCACTCCCTCCTATTTAAGGAGTCAATGGAGCCAACGAGATGTGTCCTTATTAAGCCTTTCACTAACTCTAGGCAATGCTGTGGATCCCAAGACACTAAAACAGCTGCTGAAACTGGCTGAGTTCACTTTAGAGACTGTGTAACTCTCTTCCTGATTCTGTCTTCTTGAAAGATAATAAAAGTATTTGTATGCCTACCTATATAGGTTGTACCTGACCTTTTTTGGAATACACAGGTTCTATCAGATGCAATTGCAGATTGGTAGACGAAAAGAGGAAGGTATAAAATGAACATGGATGGCACAGATATTTTACAATGTATGGCCCTTATCTTCTCTACGAGGAGACAAAATAAGAATCCCTCTCTTTCCCTCAATGGTATCTGCTATCATAAAAATCTGATGAATAGTTTATTAATTGCCTTAATGTATGACCTGCTACCCTTTTCTAAGAACATACTTTTATTTTAATAAAAGTTTCCAAGATCTAACTCGGAATTTTATTATGAGAAATAATCTGTAAGGTCAGAGAAGTTGCAATAGCCAGTCACATGAGACTAAATATTGTTGTCTTTGTAGACACCCAGAAAGCTCTAGGACTACTATCTGCTAGGCTGCACTGCTTTAACAGTGCAATAGTCTGTGCTCTCTTTCTGCATGCCAAATTCTTTAAAAGACTTAACTTTCTGAGTATGAAGGTCCTTATGAATTCCTGGGTTTTTATATTAGGCTTTCTTTTTGCCCACAAAATTAAATCCACTTGTATTAGATGTCACCCTTAAAAGTCCTTGTATTTTTTGAGTTGATCAAAGAATCATATTAACGAATATTTCCCACTGTTCTAAGTTCTACCGCCTGACGATTGACCACAGTGGGAGTTACGCACAATGGCTATCAATTCAAGAGCAATTAATGAGCAGTGAAGCTTATAGAGAAAGCCACATGGGCTGGAAGAAAGTACTTTTAGATCAATAATACCTTTAAAATCTTCTAAATTTTAGGAGAGAAAAAGAATCCCTGATGAACAGAGAATGCTTATCCACTTATAAACATTCTCATCACAATAATAAGACTGTTTCATGATGCTGGCACAGGAAAAAGTTCTGATTTTATTTTGGAAAGGTTATGTTTATAATCAGGTACAATCTTTTAGATGATATTTGTTTTATAAGACAAGAGAACATAATAGTCGACCTCTAATGACCACAAGTAGTTTATATAATCAAAGTTTTCATCCTTTGGGCCTATTCAGAAGAGTTCCAAGTTCAAGGAGTATTCAATGGTAGAACTTCCATCTTGTGTCATCAACAGAATTTCTATTACAGCTTAACCTAGAAACGAAAAAGGAGAAATGGGAGCTGAAGGTGTAATTATAGATTGAATTCAATCAATTTAAAGCATTTTAAAAGTGTAAGTATGATGTTTTTCCTAAAAATGACTGCAATTTTTGTATATTAATTTAAAGGTATTTATCTAGACATATAAATTAGCAATGTCTAAGGCATAAATATTTCAAAATAAAGGATTATTCCAGTGTAGACATATTTCAATACATACTAAGATTCTTTTTATTGATGATAATTTTCAGTAAATCGTTAGTATTTTTAAATAAAATTGAGTATAATAAAATAAATTCTCTTGACTGTACTTTTATTTCCTATAAGATTGAATAAAATAATCTTAAATTCAGGAAAAATATTATTTGAGAGTATTAGAGACTTTTCTATTATGCAATCTAAACCACAAGTGCAGCACAAGTACTCCTTGACTGATATGGCAAACTGTTACAATACTATAAAAGTCCAAATGATGAGAAAATCTTTTGAGATTTATCATTCCTCACATCATGAACATGTTCAAGTATATCCACATTTGGGTCTCTTTTTCAAAATATCAATTTGGAATTAGGTCAAGTATCTGAAGAATGCTTCTATAGATTATATTAAAATTACCTTAGAAGGAGAATGGTCACAAAAGTCTCTTTTGAGTTATGCAAAGATAAGAAAATATTCATAACCACTGTATTATTTAATAATTATAGAGGATATTATAGCTTCTATAGTGCTTTCATGCTGGTTAAAATACAGGTGAAAAATTACAAATTGAGATAATATAAACAGGATATTTTTTCTCCCTCTTAAATTATTTGTAAACTGTAGTCACAGAGTGTGGTAGGCAGGATTATAAAATGGCCCTGATATTTTTAGCTCCTGATATCCACACCTGTCTGTAATCCCTCCCTCTTGAGTATGGGCAGGACTAACAACTTGCTTTTAACCAATAGAATAGAAAAGAGGAAAAGTATTTTGAAGATGCAGTTAAGGTCTCTAATCAGTCAAACTTATGTTAAACAAAAAGGAAATTAACTAACTGGACCTGACCTAATGAGGTTAGCCTATTAGAGTAGAGATAAAAGAGATATTCCTCCTGTGCATGTGTTCACTGCAGCACCATATAGCAAAGTCACGGAATCAATCTAAATGCCCATCAACAGTAGACTGGATAAAGAAAATGTGGACGTATACACTATAAGATACTACACAGCCATAAAAATGAATGAGACCATATTCTTGGCAGCAACATGGATAGACTGGAGGCCATGTTCCTAAGTGAAGTAGTGCAGGAACAGAAATCCCAATACCACATGTTCTCATTTATAAGTGGGTACTAAACGCTGAGTACACATGGACACAAAGATAGGAACAAACAGACAGTGGGACCTACGTGAAGGTAGAGGGCACAAGGAGGATGAGGCTCAAAAAACTACCTATTGGGTACTATGCTTATGACCTGCATGATGAAATAATCTGCACATCAAATCCCTGTGGTATGCTATTTATGAATACAACAAACCTGCACATGTACCCATGAAATTAAATATTAAAAAATTAAAATTTTAAAAGTCATACAAAGAAAACATGACTGACAAAAGATCAGACTCTATAGGATTAAAAAATAAAATAACATACAGTACGTCAATGCAAAGATACGCACATAAACAAAAACACACACTCTTTCTTTTTTCTCTCTCTCCCACCCACATGCACATATTTAATGTGCCATGAAAGTTCTCTATGACCACAAATCTTTCTCACATTTGTGATACTCTTCAGGTTATATGACACACAGGAATTTCAAAGGAAATTCAGTTGAGCTCCCAAAGCGATTCTGATACAAAATGCTAACTTACTGCAAAGACACACCAGAGAATTAAAGAGTATTTTGCTTTCTAATGAAAAATACTTTTATTTAACATATATTTATATACAGCACATAATATATATATAGGTATATACACATTATGATATGTATTTTAGATTTATATATGTAGTTATGATAATATGCTCAGTTTTGTTTACCTTCATAAGTGGAAAATAGCAATATTAAGAGTAATTTCAAAACATTTTCCCCATAGTTATTTAAGATTGTGTTTTCCTGATATCATATTTGATGTGAATTACTGAAATTTAGAAGATTTGCATGCTGCTACAAAAATAAGCACCTCTAAAGAAACCTTGGATCTATTAAATGAAAACTCTTGCTGTTTTTAATTTTTTCAAATTCATGAGAGCAACAATCAAGGGTCAAGAAATAAAAATCTTCTGTGTACAGGCAATGTCTACTTCTGACCACACTTAAAACCTTCCTCAAATTGCTTTAAAAATGGCAGTATTTAATATTTTAAAGGTAATCCTTCAATTCAAATTGTCTTAGTCTGAGTCAAACAAATAATTTGTGGAAATGCATTGCAGGCTCCAATGAAATATACTACTTCTAGTGATTTACAAGTGATGGTAAAATATATGTGAATAAAACAAGGGCTAAAATATTTCTACTTTAAATAAGAGGGAGGAAAGCATTCATTCATGTAAGAAATATTTACTGTGTCTCCATGCACTGAGGGGTTACAGAATATGGTGTAATAACTCTGTCCTAATATTTCCCAGTGTTGGAGAGAATAGCTACACAAATCAATTATCATAGTCAAGTGTGGAAATCTAAATTAAAATGAATAATAGAGTCATTAGTTTGGACAACTGCAGAATAGTTATAATAAATAATTAATACATATATATTCACACCATACACAAATACTCCTATACATTTATTTTATTTACATACATACACATTTTTGTATGTGAGTACAGGTATATATATACATATGCACATATACATATATGCAGGAACTCTATATAAAAGGTATAATATATTAGATAAGTATATACAATTAATATTGAATAATCAGGGGGTTTGCACCACATTCGGAATTGGGAAAACAATATAATAAAGTGTGAATTGTCTTTCAGTGAATCTATTTCAAGTAAATTTAGTGGAAATTGTTTTACATCTTGACAAATATTTCTCAGGGTAGTAATAACTTAAAAACTCCATAAAACTCAAGAATAACCGAAGTTTTTTTACTAAGAAAGTAATAGAAAGTGAAATATTAATTTTAAAAATGAAAACATTTAAAAATACAATAGTTTTGGTGATTTTTTTATAGTAAAAGAGAAAACAAAATAGAAATTCGAGGAACAAAATTTGTACTACATACAGATTCAGTATGTGCTCAGAGAAACATTTGTTATCAAGGTGCAAAAGTAAATTATTCAAAAATAGTCTTGGTACCATAAGTCTTCCAAATTAAAAAAAACTTAAATAACCTACTCATGACATATATCATTAATCAAAAAGAGTAGAACAATTAAAAATTAAGAAATAAAATCATATAGTAGATAGGAGAAAATGCAAGCACTTCATCATACTGGTTAAGTACATGGAATATGGAGTTGGACTGCCTTATTGAAATGTGGCTCTGCAATTTACATACTATTGTGACTTTGGTGAAAACATTTACTATTTCTGTTTCTAGGTTTAGTCATCTGTAAAACATCATCAACAAAAATAGGAGCTTAATACAGATATTTTGTGAGTATTAGGGGAGTCAACATAGTATAACGAACAGTAACACATAAGAAGCTTCATATAAATCTAACAGAGGTGGTAAACAAATTCTAAGTATTATATCAGCAGAAAGAAACCATACAAGAGTGATTAACAAATTCATTTTTTAAAAAGCGAAGCACTACTTCAAAAGAGACTGTAAATAGAACTCAAAGAGGAATAACAAACAGAAAAATGATCACAACATAAATGTAAAGAATAGGATCCTTGATGTAAAATTGTAAATAGAAAAGAGATGAATGAAGCCACAGGGAAAATTGGGCAAAAACAGGTACTTCACCAAATAGTAATATAAATGACTCATCAATTTACAAAGTGTGCTTAAACTAGCCACTTAGAAAATGACAACCTCATAAATAACTGTTAGATAAAAGTAAAACTTAAAATAGCAACAATAAGAGATTTTTAAAAGTCAGGCATTTTCACCTCACCCAAGGTACCAGTAAGAATGTTGGCACAATCTCTCTGGATGGCAATTTGACACTTTAAGTCAAGATCTTTAAGTATATTCAAGTTCTTTGACCCAGAAGTTACATATCTAGTATTCCCCATATCACAAATCTAAGGATGTATACAAAGATTCATGCAAAAATACATTTATCAAAGCATTTTATATACAATAGTAAAAATGTTAAAGCAATACGAATGTCAAAAAATAGAAAAATATTAAGTTATGGCATGATATATTCAAACCAAAATTACATTACAAAAAATATTTTGGGATTTGAGAAAATATCTACAATATAGTATTTTGAGGAAAAATGTTACAATACCACTTAGGTAGCACTATCCTAATGTTGTATAAAATAGAAAAACAGAAAGAGAATATATTCAAATATTGTCAATAGTAAGTATCAGTATCATTAGCTTTTATTAATTTAACTTTTTCTACTTATATTTTCTATGTTTTTCTATGTTTATTTTGAATGTGTTTAATAATTAAAACATAATTTATGTGTTTAATAATTAAAACATAATTTATGTTTTTAATATGATCTCACTCTCCGCTGAGGCAAAAAAATAAGAATCTCTAAGTGGGCATTTAGAAATTTAATTTTTTCATAGTGATTTCTTTCAAAAAATTAAGGCACTTTCAGTTTGCATTTTTCTTTGTATGATAACTTGGATTCAGTAACAGACATAAGACAGAATTTTAATGTTAAGATTGAAACTAATCACGTTTCCAAACTGACTATTGAAATTGGACTTATGATGTATTCACCACCAGTATTACATCCTTATCTTTCACTCAGGCAGCTGGCTCAGTGTCCCTTGTGGTAAAGGCAAGGCTTCAGCACATCTTACATATGCCTCCACGGCAAGATCCACAGCAGCTCTGTTGCACACATTCAACCCTTCACCTCCA